TCCTTCCTGGAACTCCAAACCTAAGTTTAGTGTTCATTGGAGGTACAATTGGATCATGTATACCAATGCTCATAAGCCAGCCCAGATAACATTCCCAGGCAGAAAAGGAAAGGATATTATTTAGCTCTTCTTGATGTCCCTTCTCTTCTTTCATGCCTTTGAAACCCTTCATTGTCTGAGATTCATGTTGCACAAGGACTTTGTATAGGCAGCGGGACAGTGTACAGGTATTTGTGGGCTTCTTAGTATTGTCCTGTAACTTATCTGAATATTATCTTTGACCATCTCTGCTGCTCCAACTATTCAGCTGAATTCCCACTTCCATTCTCCATCGATACCCTGAGTTTCATCCTTTTATTTTAAAAGTTTCCTCAAAAGTGTGCTATTATTCCAATTTGGATAGGTTTGTTAGCACAACATAAACCTGGAGCTTTGTTAGAACAGGAGTGGGAGGTGGTGGGAGAGATATTTCTATCTCACACGTCTTCCTGGAGTGAATCTGGATCCAAGTAACAAGCAAGCCTTGCTCACAGATGCATTATGTAGCGTACATGTGTCATATCAAGCATGGTAAGAAAAAGCAGTCTGCTATCAAGAAAAAGACTACTCGGATCCCAGGTACTAAATGACAACACCTTTCCCTAAGCGACCGCTAAGGAGCAAAATGAATCCCAGTACAAAGTGGTGGCAATTTCACGAGAAATTAATATTTATGTATAACCAAACAACTACATGGATTAGGCAGTCTCAAGAAAACATGAATACATTCGGGAGACCGGAAGTGGGTGTGGTGCAGCGACGGGCAGCTTCTCGGTCGCTCCGAGAACACCCAATCTTTTTACGCTCCTTTGGGGGGCCCCGTGGCAACCGGGGGTACTCCGATAGACGTCCCGGGGAGAGGTCTAAGCAGGGGAACCTGTTGCGGCCCCTCCCGCTCTGGCAAGGCAGGGGGGTGTCCGCTTCTGTCCTGAAGCAGGAGCTTTCTTTGGAGTAGAGCATGATCCCATGCTCTACACAAGCTGCCGCCAGCCTTTTTAAATTCTTTTTGGAATAAAATCTAGTTACAACATGGATATGATAATATAAGATCGACTTGCAAGTAGCCCCAAAAGTTTTGAGCCCAAGACGGAGAAGATTAGCGGCCAGAGAAGGAACGGGGGAAGGATGTGGATGGTTTGTTTTTTCTCTCGGGGTCAAGGAATTTTGTTGTAGGAACTCACTTTTGTGCTTGTATTAATGGAAGGTTATTGAAAGTGACGTAGATTATATCTTTAACATGGCATCTACAGAGGAGTTGGAGGAAGAGGATTTTGATGACGACACCTTAATAGGGGAACTGACACTAGAGCAATTAATGAAGGTATTGAAGAGTAAAAAAGTATTAAACAAGTTTGCATAAATGTTTTTGGAAACTTGCAAGAGACACAAGGGGACAAGGAAAATGAGGAGAAAAATGAAGAGAAACTGGTGCAGGATGGATGGAAAGAGACGGAGCAACAGGCTGATGGCTATAAAGAGATGTGTGTTGATACTCAGCCTGTGCCGCTAATAGAAATAAAAACGAAGAGGAAAGGAGTGCAGTATTTAGAGACAGAACAGAAAAGAAAGAAAGGACAAAATAGGCTGGATAAGGAAGGAAGAACAAAAAAGAAAAAGACAAAAAAGAGAATAAGACAAGGACTGTGGAAAAGTAGGATTGGAAAGATAAGCAGGAACTACAGAGAAGAAAGTTTTGAAATAAGGCCACACAGAGATAAAGAAAAAAGCTATGGAGACTCTTTGAGGCAAAATAAGAAAAAAAGAAAGAGACCAAGACGAAGTGTGTGGAAAGGCAAGACTGAAATTATAAACTGGGACATTGATAGGTGGAAGCATAGAAGCAGCAGCTTAGGGAGAAAATTTCATCTATACAAAGAGAAAAGACATGTGGAATCATTGAAGCTGAAAAGCAAACTTCAGATCCATAGGAAAAAAATTAAGATGTATAAAGAGAGAGGGGTGTTACAAAAATTGATGATATTTTTATATCTTAATATGGATGAACTTGTTTCTATATCTTATTTAGTTAGGAAGGTTGGATGTAAGATATAGGTAACATGAGTGGGAAATGTGGAAGTAAGTTTTTCATTCAAGGGGGAAGAGAAATTAATGAATGGGATTAATTTAGAGTGGTTTGGATATTTTTTTAACCTTGGAAATATGGATTTATGTCTCTTATTGTACTCCAATACTGATGAAATGTGTATTCAAGTAGGAGGGGTATAAATAATGAATCGGAATAGAGTGGTTCTGAAGAATTATGTTATATTGGAAATATAAATTTATGGTTCTTATGGTATTTTGAAATTGATGAGTTGGTTTAATTATTTTAGGGTTTTAGGATAGGTGGCTGTGTTTAATCAAGGTTTAAATAGGTTGATGTACTTTTTGGATTTTTGTATGAAGTTATAATTTTTGAAGTACCATAATATTGCCTATTTGTGTATGAAAGTAAATTATAGGAGTAGTTTTCTATTAAACGTGGGCAGGGAAAAAAATAATGAACAGGGTTATATTTGGGCTGTAGAAAGTTGGTTTGATTTTAAAGAAGTCTGATCACATTGTAAATTGAATGGTCTCTGGTGCACCTAATTAATGATGATTTTGTTTATATCTCTACATGTATAATTATTTAGTTATATATATATGGTGGGTTTAAGGTGTTTTTGATAGATGGAACAGGGAAAGTAATTTAGAGTTAAAGATTGGAGTATGAACCAATAGTATAAAATTCAAACGAGGATAATTAAGAAGTGTTTGCGTAATCTTGCATTTAGCAAGTGAAAATTGTGAGAATCTTACATAGAGAGTTTAAAGTCTATAGAAGATGGGTAAAGTAAGATGGGTAAAGTAAAAAAATGTAATAAGCAAGTTAAAACTTAATATGATAACTTTTTAGAAAGGTGTACAGAAAGGGTGATTTGTGTATTTGGCTTCTATATATAAGAGTTGAATATATGGTATGTGTTATGATATATTGACAATAGTTTGTAGGATATTTATGTAACTAGATTGTTACTTAGGTTGTATGTTTGTATGTGTGGCATATTGAAAACCCAATAAACAGATTATTAAAAAGAAAAAGAAAACATGAATAGATTCCACAATGAGGAAAAGCACTTAACTAATAGTCTGAATTGTAACAAGACTCACTTTTCAGGAGCAGAAATCGACAAAACGGATAGGAAATAGGGTAAAAGTCACAAAACATGGGAGTGCTGTACGATGCTATTGCTACAGAGAACGTTTCAGACCCAGACACGGTAACAGATGGATGATCCACCACTTCACTAATCTAGACCCAAAAAAATCTCAGCACAGATGTCCTGTACTGAGGACTGAGCTATTTTTGAATGTGTAGCAATGCTTGTAAAGAAACAGAAGTTACGAAGTATCAAATGGCAAACTGAATGACATTACTTCTTGAGTCTCATAAAAAGTTTCTACCCAAGATTATAAAAAACTTACATTTTGTCAGTTGTTGTGATGGGCCCATGCCAGTCAGCCCATGTGGGGAGGTCTGGCTCCCAGAGGCCTGGCCAAACAGCTGGTCTGACCTGGAAGATGGCCATGGACGAGCCAGGAGAGGAACCCAGTCTGGCATCCAGATGGACCAGTGGCAAGAGCAACAGTGAGTGTGCTGCCAGCCTCACTACAGAGGCTGCTACTGAGGGGCAATGGAGCTCCGGCCCCCACACAGCCTCAGCTGTAATGTGGTGATGGAACAGAAGAAATGACAAAGGAGAGAGAGACAAAAGAAAAAAGAAGCTAGACATCTAAAAGAGGAGGAAGCAGAGATGAGGGGGGAGGACTGGCAGAGCTGGGTGACAGCCAGTGGAAATGTTGTTAGTCTTAAGGTGTCACTAGACTTCTCTTTTTTATTTTACAAGACGCAGATCTTTGAGCTCTGAAGAGCTCTGCTTCAAGAGACAGAGAAGGAAAGGTGGTCCAACTTGGGGGGGGGGGAGACTTGCAAAGAAAGGGAGGAAAGCGGTCCGAAGGAACTGGCAATGGGCATGGCATGTGTCCTCCCTTCTTTGATGAATTGTATTTATTTATTTTTCGCATTTATATCCTGCCCATCCCGTAAACGGGCTCAGGGCGGGTCACTACATTTCAATAAATACAATAACATTTAAAACACATTAAAACATATGAAATCAATAGTCATGCCTGCCGTAGGGAGAATCTGGCCCACTGATGTAACTAGGTATGGCTGGTTATCAGTAGGTGAAATTAACCACACCAGGTCTGTGATGCAAATACAGAGTGCAAAAAATGACTGTGAGACCCCTTGTTGGACTGTTGGAACTTGCTTATACTACCTGAGTCTGGGTATAGCTTCTCATTGGTCCTTGAGGGTATCACAGTTGGGAACGAATTTGTTCAAACCATTAGTTTATGTAACTGATTTGCTTTAGATACAAGCTGCATGAGGTAAAATGGGGATGGCTAAACGGAAGCCTACAGAGCAATTCTGTTGGACTGAGAGATCCTACCAGATTTCAGTCCGTGTGTAGTAAAAACTGTTCCCATACTTTTCTATCTCAAAGAAGTTCATATTTTACTTTTCTTCACATTTCATGTGTAACTGTGTGGCTGACAACAAAACAAAGTATATATGACATGCATATTGTTTTTAGTGCTTCTTCTCATAGCTTTCTCAAACATGTTCTGGGAAGACCCAGGTTCCAAATGCTTGTTGAGTGGATCTTTTGGAAAAATTTTTGTTTTTCCCACCACAATCTCAACTGATGACCTTTCTGTTGCCCGAAACGTTCTGAATATCTGAGTGTCTGACAGGGTGCAAATACCTCAACTTTAAAAGTAGTTCCAGGGAGAACAATAACTCACCCCAACACCACTCCAAGCTCTTTCACATGAACTCGGGTATGACCTCGCAAATATTTTGACAGCATTGTGCTTTTGAGGTACATTTCCTGTAACCGATCCTCAAGGTGCATTATACACTATAACAGAGGGAAAACATCACAAGGTTTATATCCAGTAGATCACAACACATAAAAGATGTGCCAATAAGGCTGTGCTCAGCAGCAGGACCTTTCTAGTACTCGGTCCTCCACTCTGTACGATGGTCTCTCCTCAAGAAACATGCACAGCCTTGACATTTACTTTCTTTTGGAGGCAGACCACGAAGTTTTTCATTTGCCCTGGCTTCTAAAAAACGAGCTTTTGGTTTTCCACAACTTAACTAATCTGGAGGGCTGCCCTGCTGCCCTTTTGTATTTAAGATTGGAGGGTTTTTTATTACTCAACTTGCAGTTGGTTTTCTTTGGCTGTTTTTATTTTTGTCTCAGAAACCCACTTAAGTGCTGAAAGGCAGTATACACATGTTTTGCACATAAATACAAACATATATGCAATATGTTATTAGTTTATTAAAATACTTATAGTGGACCCAAGAAGATTGTTGTTGAGATGTGACCAAAAGTCCAATCAATATATTTTCCCTGCTAACCATCAAATGGAAGTTCTGCCTATTTGCCGGGAAGCAGCCTGACAATGGGGGTGTTTGGGCTGACCGCTTGTGCTGGTGGATTCACCTATATATAATCACACTGGTAGGTGGGCAGGGACCAAAGCAACTCTGCCCTTCTGGGCTTTGAGATTACAGGGAATAAAGCCTGTAGCCATGGCTTGTCCAGGCAGAGGGGAAAGACTGCAGGCAAAAAGAAGACCATTAGCTGGGGTAGTGATGCTCTTGGCGCTTGGGGGGGGGGCAACAGTAGGAGAGCTTCTGGAGTTCTGGCCATGCTGGTGGACCTCCTGATGGCACCTGGGGTTTAGCCACTGTGTGACACAGAGTGCTGGACTGGATGGGCCATTGGCCTGATCCAACATGGCTTCTCTTATGTTCTTAACTCTCCATGCAGCTGCCACATAAGAGAGTTCTATAGGGATCAGTCCAGTTAACTTGGTAGAAAGAGAGTAGTATCTGGTACGCTGACTTGTTGCTCCTAGGACAGAAAGTGTGTGCAGGGGTACACACAGTTTAAAACTTGTCACCCTTCACATTTTCCCTGCTAGTCAATACCAACTGCATGCACTTATTTATCAAGGAGAACTTACAAAGTCGGCAGGCAGGTTAAGTTTGTAAAGCTGTAAAATGGATTGCAACAAAGAGGACACTTGGCTGGAGACCAGGACATCCTTGCCTAGCTTCATATTGTCCATCATTTTCCTCTGGCTTGTGGCCACCTGCACAGTCCACTTATCTGTATCAGCAATAATGCAAACAGCTTCTGCGATGGGCTCATCTAGTACTGGATGCTGTAAGAGGCACAAAACACACACCAAACGGAGCTGAAACGGGACATTTTCAAACCACTTTTGAGCTAATTATTTGATAAATATACAAGTGAAGTGCGGAATGGAGACATCTTGCATTCAGCACAATTTAAACACTATAAATCAAATGCATTACTTAAATGATTTGTCAGGTCTGTATCTTCTACCTGATGAAGCTTATGATCAGTACAATTTCCCCTCCACATTGAATACGCTGATGGCACACTGACAGGCCCAGTTTTGGTGACAGTTATCAAGCCAGCTTATTTCTATTAACAAATATTGAATTACTGATAGTGAATTGCCCTTTCAAACAAATATCCAGCTTTAGAAGTTGTGCTACAAAAGCTTCTATTTTTTTCAATGCAAGACTTGACAAGTATGTGGATTAGGACTATCAAAATAAATGCCCTAACCTGTGTAGCCCAGGCTAACCCGATCTCATGAGATCTCAGAAGCTAAGCAAGGTTGACCCTGGTCAGTATTTGGATAGGAGACTTCCAAGGAAGTCCAGGGTTGCTATGCAGAGGCAGGCTATGACAAACAACTTCTGAATGTCTCTTGCCTTGAAAACCCTATGGAGTCAACCTAAATCAGCTGTGAACTGATGGCAAAAAAATCAAAATAAATAGTGTGCATGCATGAAGCATATGCATATTCAGGGCATTTGCACACCTCAGTAAATACAGATTTCTGAATCAGGCCAAACAAGCAGTTATGCAACACACAGCCATGCCAAGATCCACAAGGAAATGCATTGTATGAAAGACAGACGTTTCTACTTTGCAGCTTGACCACCAAGTGTTTAAACATGAGTGTGTTTATGAAATCAAGCAGACAATTAGGGTTGCCTCCACATGATCCAGTTCCATCTGGTTCTCATTAGAGGATGAGAAAAGGCAGAGGAAAATGGGAGAAGCCACCCTGCAGTGGGAGAAACATGCCTACATGAACCTGTCTTCAGAATATCCCTTTTCTTTAGATAAAAGGTGCAAACAACATAAGGCAACTACAATGTGCAAGAAATGAAGCCTCCAAAACAATTATGTGGTTTCCTCATCATGCAGAAGAAAAAAGAAAGAGCTCACTTTTACAGTGAAACTCTAAGGCCTTGGTCTCACCAAGGTGGTAAACTTCTCCCTTGGTTATATCACTTTAGACTGCAGGTGGCAACTTGCATGTCTGAATACTTCTCCAAACAAAAAGATTCCTTCCACAAAGAAAGGCCAGGTTAGAAGCCTCCTCCACGACACTGCAGTTCTTTAGGTAGAGGGATACAATATGCAGACAGAATATGCAAATACAAGTTACATCTAGTTTAGTAGTAGGTTCCTGCAGAGGCCAGTCAGGTGCTTTTGGAAGCCCATGTGCACACTGTGATGGTGATGATGAGCCCCAGTACTCAGGGACACTCCCTTTCCATAAGGGAGCTTCATTTCTAGCTATAGTTAACAGAACAATTCATGCAGGTTAAGTCTGCAAAAGACTGGTTCTTTTTGAAGTCCATCTATTCCAATGGACACCACTTCATCTTGTTTTACTGAACTCTGTAAGGAAGTTTTGCATACTTCTATTAGTGGAGCAAAAGTAGATTCAAGCAAAGTTAAAATGGAACATCTCTGTTGCTCGGTCTGCCCAACTCTCCATAATGCTTCCTTTTCTGGCCAGACCTGCATACAGAAAGAGGCTTCTTGCTAAAAAATGTACACAGAGGTTGCGGTCACACGTGCCAGAAAAAACGGGGGGGGGAGGGAAGCGAGGCTATTTCCTCTGGAAGAATTTGACCTGCAGTTGCGCGGTCACACCTCCCTCTGAAGCTGCGGGCACAGACCGTCAGTGTGTGATCAGACGCAACTGCGGGTGAATCTTTTTTTTGGTGCTGTTTCCCCCCCCCCATGCGCTTAACCGAGGGAACGATGAATCACACCTTCGCACCAAGGGCTCCCTATGGAGTTTGCGATGATGCGCATACTGCGAGGGGGGGGGACAACAGCACGGAGTCGAGATGACTTGATCAGACTATCCCGATGCCATGAGAGCCCGCTGGAGCGATCAGACACAGGAAAGTCCATCCGTGGCCCATCACAACCCACTTACTACCAGATTTTCCCCGGTGTCTTTTAACTCCACTTCTGTGGTGGAGCAGAACAGGTTGCCGACGGCTGCAGGGCGCTTCCCAGATGTTGTTGTCTGATCGCGTCCTTTAAATCTGCCCGGCATTCGCACCTATGTCGGGTCTAATTGTGCGTATGATCGCAGCCAGACTTACATTTACTGAATGACACAAATCAGCTGGTAAACGAAGCTTGAGTTGTTCATCATTACTTATTCCATGTAATACGAGATCAGGCATATATGAAGCACAACAGCCCCCCAGAAGTGATCGTCCAAAATGTCTCACACTTTGATTGCTGATTGTGTTGGATCTGAAACACAAGAATTGGTTGCTCTTTGTCAACATGTTGCAAAACTTCAATCACATTCGGGACAGGACTACGTTACCCACCTTCCTTGCCAGCCAAGATTATGGCCAAAAGTCTAGAATGGTCATGAAAAATTTACCCTTGTTCTGAAAATGCATGTTACTTCGCTTTCCGATCGTTATTAGGACCAACATGGTTAACTGCAACTTCTGCCTATTTTGAATACACCTGATTTTATCTGATAAAAGAGAGAGGCTCTTCAACAGAGGAAATTACCTGGGAGGAGATTGTTCTTATGGGGCTCCCTCTGTTACTGAGAGACATTACCTACTTTGGCTCCTGTCAACTCTTTACCTAGTGCATCATCTGAAATTAATCTTTAGGATTAATGTAACTAGCACCCCCCTTTCCTTTTAGCCTTTTAAGAGATCTGTGTGTGCTTTCTAGTGTTGGGACACATTTGGTCAACTACTGATCTTTGTATTTCTAATTGGGTATGTCCATTTTTCCTCTCTTCCCAGGACACCAATGGAATAACCTGATACCAGCTCCTCTAATTACCAGCCTGAGGAAGAGTTCTGGAGACATGAGAAGCTTGCATACAGTTCTGCATTATTTTGGTTGATCTTAATAAAAGTTATTACATGGCTTTTGTTTTCCATTTACTCTAGAACTTTCAAATGCCTACACAGCAAAATGTCTACACTGCATCTTCCCAATCAAAAGCTGGGAAAAGTTAGGAAGATTGTCTTAAATTAGGAAGATTGTCTTAGGTGTCAGTTTTCTCTCACCATCCTGTAGGCAGGGAGCCAGGGGGTTGCCTAAATCCATAACTAGGCAAACCTCTGCTTTACCAGCTGTACCGTCACAGTTATAATGTAATCATACCCTCAGTGCTATTTTTGAAGCAGTAGCTCTGGAAATTCTTTACCCAAACTCCTGTGAGCCACAAATCCAGCTATGTTAACTCCATTTTTGTTATCACATTTCAAATCAAGTCATTTGTGCTCTGTAGCAGTTCTCAAAATCAACCTATTTATAAAGACTGAAAGATCACAATATTTTCTGTAGCTAAGGTAATAGAAATGTATGCACCACAGAGACAAAAAATGAGGCTTTTTGTTCTGTTCAACTACATTTATCTGTTGCTTAAACCTTAAATGGTGATATTTGAGAATTAATCATAAATTCAACCCCCCCAGCCTTCCCAGAATATGAAAACATTGCTAAATAATGAAAACGTCTGGGTTAATTTGCTCTAAGTTGCCCATTCTATTTACTGTCATATTCAAATACTGCTCCAAAATTATGCAGAATTCTGGAGAATGACATCTTAGGCTCATAGAAAGCATTTTACCTTGGCAAAACAAGCTCCACTTCTGAGAGCTCCTCAGGTTGACTGGAGATCAAGCTCTGAGGTTGTACATCTGGACTACATGCACTGCCTTCGTCATCACTCTCTCCCAGGGCACTGTCCGAGCTCTCGTTTCTAGGAATATTCTCCTCCATTCTGAAAGGGTGTTTCCTTCCAGTATCCCCACAGAGGACATCCTCAATAACCACTTGGTCAGAAACATGCCCATCAATAGAACTCTTTGCATCACAGCCAAGAGAACCACTTGCTAGGTTTTCACAGCATGTACTTTTAGCTTCCTCCGGTTTGATTTTGCTGTCAGAAGGGACAGGCGGCTGACCCGATGCCCGAGAGGCAGCTGGCATTCGTGTTTTGCTCACTTTCTGCCTGGAACGTGGCTTATAAGAGAAGTCAGATTTTTCTCGTTGAGCTTGGGCAGTTATACACAAAATATCTGGCACCAAGCACGGAGATTTGCCTTTACTCCTGAGTTTCCCCAGAGATCCACTCATCTCCTTTCTTTGGATCTCTACGTCAGATTCTGGCGAGGTGGAGCTTCCAATCTGGAAGGTAACTTTTTCTGACTGAGGCCACCTCTGGTCAACCCTCACAGAAGATGAATTGCTGAGCAGCGGCTCCCTTTCCTTACGGTGGTTGCCATCATTTATTTCTATGGTTAAGTTCTCCAATTTAGCTCTCCCTCCAAATATAGCTTCTGAACTGGCCATAGTTTTACCCTTGTTAACCTCTTCCACGATTTCTTTAGGAGAGCCTATTTTGGACAAACGGGAAGATACCTCGGAACTATGCTCCACATTCACCCCTTCATGCTTTCCCTTCAAGCCTGCAGGCTCAGTGCAGCTCTCATATCTCACAGAGGAATGACTTGCAGTCTTCTGAGGCAGAAGAGGAGGCACAAGAGCAGGTTCCTTTCTAACAGTGACTACCACATAATCAGATTCCTCAATGTCTCCCTTCTCCAGAGCTGTTGTGAGCTTACATCCATTCACAGCTTGTTCTCCTTCAGTGATGTTCCCGTTCAAGGTCAGCTGGTCATCTTGTAGCTCAGAGCACCGTAAGAAATAGGTGAGAACGTAGAGGATGCGCTGAACCAAATCCTTACGTTTCCCAACCACTACTGTCCGTGTCATCCTGATAGGAGACCCTATAGCACCATACAAGTCACCTATATGAAGTACAAGGAAAACAAGGTGACTCACACATTGTATGTATTATGAAGTCGAGCAGACAGAGATTATGTAAAGGACAGATGGTTAAAATTCAACACCTGTCCCTGTTGTTCTAGTGGTCAGGATTCATCACTTGGGTCTGATTCCTAGTGAGGAAAGTGTTTATTAGGTGAAGGGATATGGCTCAGTGGTAGAGCACACATGACTTTCAAATAAGGGCCTAGATTTAAACCTTGGCATTTCCAAATAAAGGATCTTGGACAAGAGGTTTTAGGAAAGCCCTCTGTATACAGTGCTGCTGCCAGCCAGAGTGGACAATATCGAGCAATATATGCCCATGTTAGGACTTGGATTAAGGCAGTTTCTTACTAAATTCAGCATTTCTTTTTCCTTTGTCAAAAAAAGAGAGAGAGACTCATGTATAAACTTTGCTTACATTACAGAAAACTCAGGACATGATTTGGCCAAAGTTAAGCCCTTTGAAGTCCCACTGATTTTAACAGTTCTGCCACTGAAATCATTGGGACCTTGAGATGTTCAGTTTTGGCTAGAATGCAGAAACAGTGCTCCACTGATATCATGCAATAATTGGCTTCCTTGTTGGGAAGGTTCTTTCCAAGTTCTTAGCAGGGATCTGTATACTTTGCATTAAAAGGAATTTCATATTTGCACAAGAAGAAACTGAATTCTGCAGCCTATGTCAAATTGTGCCAAAACAAGAGTTTTACAACTTAGCAAAGAACTCCACTGGATCTTTGACTGGGAACTTCTGTCCAGCCCACCCTTTGGCTTTTGGCCTATTTTTTATTGCATTTATATCCCACATTTCTTCTACAATGTAACCTGCAGACAAGACACATAGGACACTCGCACATTCTCCCCTCCAGGCACTGACCAGACCCAGACTTGCTTGGCTTCAGCAAGGTCACTGCATCATTAATGAGGGGCTGGAGCTCAGTGATAAGAGTGTCTGGCTTTGTAAGCAGAAGGTTCCAGGTTCAGTTCCCAGCATCTTCACTCCAAAGGATCAGACAGGATCAGATTTGAAAGACCTTGACCTGAGACCCTGAAGTCTGAGTAGACAATACTGACCTTGATGGACCAGTGGCCTGGCTTACCATTATATAGCAGCTTCATGTGTACTTGAGCCTTCAGAACTACACCCTTGGAATCACCCACACAGCCCTTAAGTGTTCAAAGCTTTTCTTTTTAAGGAAAGTCAAGCCCTGCACTGGATGCTGACTTTATCTACCAAATGCTGACTTTTATCTACCAAATATGTCATTTTTTCCTGGATTATCTGGCTAGAGAGTAGTTGACAGAGCTTGTGCTACTCATGATTGACCGATCCACCCCAGATTTGTTCAGATATTGAACAAAATCTATTGCTTGCACCTATGGCTGTGCAAAGGAATAAAAGGTGATTATGTAGTTTGTAGCCTACTCAGGTACCACTAGAGGGCACCATATGCTTCATAGAATTATGGCTATATGGATAACAGGATAATGTATAGTGGGCACCTGGTTACAAGATGCTTCTGAGAAAGAAGAATGATTCACAAAAGCTCACACTGGAAAAATGTTGTTAGTCTTTACAGTATCACTGGACTTATACATTCCAATCCCAAAGAAGGGCAATGCCAAGGAATGTTCAAACTATCACACAATTGCACTCATTTCACATGGTAGCAAGGTCATGCTCAAGATCCTACAAGCTAGGCTTCAACACTATGTGGATAGAGAACTGCCAGAAGTACAAGCTGGGTTTCAAAGAGGTAGAGGAACTAGAGATCAAATTGCCAACATTTGCTGGATTATGGAGAAAGCAAGAAAGTACCAGAAAAACATCTACTTCTGCTTCACTGACTATGCTAAAGCCTTTGACTGTGTGGATCACAACAAACTATGGCAGGTCCTTAAAGAGACAGGAGTACCAGACCACCTCACATGTCTCTTGAGAAACTTGTATAAGGGTCAATAAGTGACAGTTAGAACCGGATATGGAACAACTGATTGGTTTAGCAGAGGAAAAGGAGTACAACAAGGATGTATATTGTCACCTTGCTTATTTAATTTATATGCAGAGTACATCATGCGAAAGGCTGGCCTGGATGAATCACAAGTAGGAATTAAGATTGCTGGGAAAAAGATCAACATCTTCAGATATGCAGACGATACCACTCTAATGGCACAAAGTAAAGAGGACCTAAAGAGCCTCTTGCTCAGGATTAAAGAGGAGAGCACAAAAGTGGGCTTGAAGCACAACATCAAAAAAACTAAGATCATGGCATCCGGCCCCATCACTCCTTGGCAAATAGAAGGGGAAGTCCTGGAAGTAGTGACAGACTTCACGTTCCTGGGATCCCAGCACACCGCAGACTGTGACAGCAGCCATGAAATTAAAAGACGCCTGCTCCTTGGGAGGAAAGCGATGGCAAACCTAAACAGCATGATAAAAAGCAGAGACATCACCCTGCCAACAAAAGTCCGCATGGTCAAAGCAATGGTATTCCCAGTAGTAACGTATGGCTGTGAGAGTTGGACTATAAGGAAGGCCGAGCGCCGAAGAATAGATTCTTTTGAACTATGGTGCTGGAGAAGACTCTTGAGAGTCCCTTGGACTGCAAGAATACCAAATCAGTCAATCCTAAAAGAAATCAACCCTGACTGTTCCCTGGAAGGCCAGATACTGAAGCTGAAACTCAAATACTTTGGCCACCAAATGAGAAGGGAGCACTCACTGGAGAAGACCCTGATGCTGGGAAAGACAGAAGGTCAAAGAAGACGGGGACGGCTGAGATGGTTAGACAGTGCAACGAACATGAAACTGAGCAAACTTCAGAGGATGGCGGAAGACAGGAGGGCCTGGTGTGATCTAGTCCATGGGGTCACAAAAAGTCGGACTCGACTGTGCGACTGAACAACAACAACTGTTGACTAGATTTTAGTAGACACTTATACAAACTTGTGGGTATACTTTCACATAGCTCCTGAATTGTTTGGGATGTGGTATATTATTGTGCATTATTGGATTTTATATAGGTTTACCTTACTGTATACCACTGTAAGTCTCAGGTTTCAGAAACTATTTTAAAAACATCTGTAGTCCTCTACCCTATGGCTTGTATCCAGTAGTGCACAACATAAATTAACATAAATTGATTTAGTGTGCTCAGAAATTGGTTGCACATGATTTTGAGCAAATAGCAATGCAAGTGGAGATGCAATAAAAGTTTGACTTAGCACAAGCAGCCACCATGGTCTTTTGCTTGCATTTTTGCTTGCAAGACAGCTACAGCACAAGTGGAAATTTTGCACTGGATCCAACCCAATATATTTAAATCCTTTCTATATGTACATGCACTAACACATTTTATAGATTAAAGCAATTGGAAGTTATTCAGATTTTTGTTTTTTAAGTTTGGCTTGGAAAATTTTCACTTACCAAGCTGGGCCCAAAGTGGATTGTAAGGATGCGATTTCCCCAACGAGTTCACAGACTGAGAAGCACGTTTCTCAGAGAAGGCCTTGATGGGGGGATGGTCAACTGGCATCACTGTAGGGACCCAGGCCAGGTGATATGTCAGCACCGCGGTTAACAAAGCAGCTAGAAACCTATGGAGAAGAGAGTCACAAAGTAAGAAACACTGCGGTAATCCTGCCATTTCCAAGCAAAAACAGCAAAACGAGGCAGGAGGAAATACAGACTTACTGGTTTTTGCTGGTCTGTTCTATCAGAACAGTGAATTCCTTAAGGAAGTGCTGGCATAACTGGCTCTTTTCTGAAGCACCGGACATCATCGTGAGCCACACAGGCTCTGTGATCCTTGGAACAGAATACAAGTTCCAGACTGTAACTCTGCCAAAAGAGGAAACCCCGAAGAACACATCTATTAACTCAGAGGTACGTATGATTCAAAATACAAGATTGCTTTGACCTGCTCTGCAATGAGGGAAAACTCCTCAGCTCTTAACAAACCACCGTGCTGGACCTACAGATTACAGCATTAGATGAGATGTGAGACAAGCAAGATGGACACTTCCAAAAACAGGGAGGAGCAGGATCCCTGCAGCCCTTTTCAATTGTTACGCTTGACTGCATGCATGGGCCAAACATACCAAACATGTGCACTCCTCTTGATATGTGCAACTGCAGTTTCTTCCTAAATGAGCCAACACGTGAATGTTCAGCCTCAGTCCTTCCAAAGCAGAAGGAAGGAGAGTCACCAGGGCCCATTTCCATCGGCCTTCTTTCAATAATTTATGTGGCACATTTCCCTGAATTCTTCTTTTCCAAAAGGTGAGATGTAAGCATCCTACCACTCTGCTAAACTGCATGGCAGAAGCTTTGTCTGACAGGAGGAGACTTCTCCAGAAGATGAGCCTCTTTTATTGGAGAATGGCTTCTTCTGCCAGAGGAAGCGTCTGTTCATAACAGACTGAAATGACAGGATACAACCTAATTAACCCACCAGGAATGGTCTATTTTAAGCATTTCTCTTTCACACCTTTCAGACAACTTGCTTCTTGAAGCAGGTTACAGTAATAAAAACTGCCAGCCAGAAGATACATACATACATACATATATAAATCTATATGTATCTATGTATGTAACACATACATGCACACAGACCTTCCCAGTTCATGAAATCCCTACATAAAAGTCTCCAAAATTAAAAAAACTACAGGAGTAGTTCACAGCAAAAATATTAGACTAAAGTGCAACGCTAACCACACAACAATCTCAAGCATCAATCTCCTGTCAACATGCCCTATGGGGATCCAGGGAATGCACAACTGCTTGGCCCTCCCCCTGCCTGCCTCCACGGTTCCAGCCAAATCCCCATGGCTGGAAAAGGCCTCAGTGCAGACCCCATGTTCCTCCTCCTCTCTTCCCAAGCCTCTCCTCCACAGCCGGGAGAAGACCTGGAGCCTCTTCCCTGGCCTGCCATTTGGCCCCTTGTATGGGCCAGGCTTGATCATATACATGCTCAGCTGCCTTCCCCTAACCTCCCACACCCATTCCCCACTGACATGACAGCCTAGCCAGTCTGGCCCAGCTGCTGCTGGCAACTCCTTAAAGGGTCCGCTCAGAGCTGTACAAGAGTTTGGCCTGGCCATGCCAGCCCTCTTGCTGTCAAGGTGGCCATAGAAGCTGTTGGCAGCCTGAGCGTTGGGGCTGGGGTCATGGCCATGTGCTGCGGCCTGGGTAAGTCCAGGAGAATCTCCAGTTCCAGACACCTCTTCTCTCAAAGAGAAACAAAGCTTACAACAGTTATCCATACACAGAGGATGGTTTTATAGAATTTTCATCTGTTTAAACTAACTTTTTATATTCTAATCTGTTAGAAGAGGACCTTCTATGGGGGGAAGGCAGCATACAAGTATGCTAAACAATCTCTCTCTCTCTCTCTTTCTAATAGAGGAAGCACCCACTGAAAAAACCTAACAGGAGACCATTTCTACACATCAACTAATATCCTGGGCTGCTGAAGAAAACAAGCCATGAGAGCTTTAAACAGCATGTTTAGGTTGTGTTTTTGGTTTAGACTCACATGCTCATTATGTAATCTCTACCCACCCTTTCCATCTTGGCTATGGCCCCAGTCAGGTGCTTTAATACTGAGCTGAAATACAGCCAGCTGATCAAACACCCGCCAAAGCTAGAGTAAAGCATGAAATCCCTTCCCAAATACCAATTATTTTTCAAAAGCTAGCAGCTTCCCTTGTGGCAGACGCTTTACAGACACTGTAACAGAATGGTACAATTTGATGATATTACTAAATTAGTTACAATAACTTTGTATGTCTTCATCATGGCTGATGTTTATGTTTGCAATTCATTTAGTGGCATGCAACCCAGTCTGCTAGCCTCTACAAAAACAGAATGAGGAAACACGGAGTTTTTAAGGACAAGAAACTTTCAGAAGTTTCAGAATAAACAACGGCAAGAAGAGTCCTTGGGGCTGAGGGGACCAAATGATAACCCTACCGAGCATTTGTGCAATGATTCTGAGAGGTCAAAGCACTCTGCAGTCACCTTGAGGTAATCCTTGCAACAGCCCTGTAAGCGTGATGACCAATTTGTTCAAATATTGGGAGGGAGAGCAATGGCTTGTTTAAGGCCACCTAGTTATTTTGTTGCACAGATGAGGTGCTTTCTCAGTTCCACCTCTTAGCTACTATGTTAAACAACCACACTTTGAATACCTGTGGGAGAATTCTTACATTAAAATCCAAATGCAAAAAACCCCACACAGAAACTAAAAAACCCAAATAACCTCCCCAAACAACAACGACAAAAAACAAGTACTTCTGTCCCCCCCCCCCAAAAGGATTCTGACCATTTTGCCCTAGTTAAGTCTAGTCTCAGATAAGTAGTTTCTCTTTTAGAAACCTGGCTGTATACTACTGCAGATAACACAACTATTATTGTTATCAGCTATTCTGGTAAATCCATCCTGAAAAATGACTGTGTAATTACAAAACTGTGTACTAGTGCTGGGTGGTGTTGGTGAAGGAAGGATTAGCAATGCTCTGTTGCCTGTTCCTTATAAATCAGCTCTCAGACATTTTTTCCCTGGTGTATCCTTACAGCTTTTTTGGTTATCTTTGTTTTCTGCACAGAATTATGTGCAGCAACACCCTGTCCTCCCCCCATGTTGTACAGCAGCTATTGTTCAGTCAAATGGTGCCCAGCACCAAGGGAACACCTTCTCCATGCCACTCTAGACATACAAGCCAATAAGCCGCTGGTTTAGGTGAAGTTTTCAAAAATTCTGTTTCTTTTAAAACATTTTTTTTAAGTAATCATCCAGATTTAAGATTATTTGAAAATAAATGTAATAGAAATTTGTGCCTTTGCCTGATTACAAGGCAAGGATTTAAGAGAGGCGCCACTTTCCTCTGAGACTCAGATTCAGATACCCATCCTGACATGAAGCTTGCTGGATAACCCTCCTGTGGTATGTCACACACTCCCTCTGTCTAATCTACCTCATAGGGCTGTTGTGAGGGTTCAATCTCTCGAGCTCCTTATAGACATATAAACATACAAAATCCCGCTCTTGATATTTAAGTGGGAGATGCAATCTGTACCACACACTTAAGTCTGTCGCTGCCTCTGCACTCCCAAATGGAAAAACTGGTAACACATTAAATAAGCTTTGAAAAACAGGTCTGAACAACAGTGTCACGCTACTGCTTTTCTTAGCCCTCTTCTGTCACCATTATTGTAAAGATGGGCAATCTCTACCGTGCCATTTGCCATTCTCATGCTTTATCCGGAGACTATATGGCAGCAGAGATGCAATTGTGCAAACTTAGGACGGGGGCGGGATCTACCCTCCAAGAAGAAAAAACAGGCAATATCTGGACAGCAAGTAAAGATTGGGGACACAAGTGAGAAATAGGACACAAGCACCACTCTGGATACACCCTAAGGAGAAATACAGATTTGCTGTGGTGGTGTTTGTGTGCCCCTCTGTACTTCTCCATGCAACATGAATCCATACCTGAATTCAGTCAGGGCATCCATGACACGGCTGATGTAAACTTGAACTCTTTGGCTAGTTTCTGCTATTTTTCTACAGGAGATCATAGCCTTGAAGAGAAAGTAATCAAAAGCTGGTTTTAAGAAAATGAAAACGATCTACTGAAGAACATTTAAAAGGTAAGTATTAGAAACAGAGACCAAATTACGTGTCCCCCCCCTCCCCTTACTCTTGGAACTTGGCATTACCATTATTCTAGAGATGTGTTTCATGAAAACAATATAAAATAGGCGGTGGTAGGGAGAACAACACAAAAAAACTCTGGGGCTCAATGGATAACCCAGGTGGTGGGTGGGCTCATAAACCTTTTTCCTCAGTTCCTGAACACAGGTGCTCTCCCAACAAGCTCCACAGAGACCCCTCTCTGAAGGCCCTGCTGCATGAAGTAGGTCTACCCTGTACTTCCATATCATATTCAGAGCCAGTGTGATACCTAGGAAAAAACTGTGTGGCTTGATACAGGGGACACACAATCAAATTGCCATTTGGTTATGGAACCCCTGTTGGGGGATCCCCCCTTGACATCTTACTCTCTCTGCCTCACAGGAGGTAGCAACCAGAGCAATTAGCTCTTTACCATTTCAATTGCGCTCTTCAGCTTGCTCATATGTGATTCAAATAAAGGAAAGTGAGAAAAGAAGAAATCCTGGAAATCCCTCTGTGCCACTTCCTTTTCTGGCAGAGAGAAAATGATGCTGAGAGCGATCTTTTTTCTTCGAATCATTGCAGGGTTGAGGCCACAGCTTTCATCTGCCATGTTGAACGTCTCTTCGGTTGACCTGCAAGGAGTGGAGTGGAGGAGCAGAAGAGAAGCAGAATGTTACTTGTCTGGAATTTTTTTTAAAGAACATCTCTGGTACTCAAACCTGAGCAATAGATTTAAACGAGGCAATTTTTTTTTAAAAAAAACCCCTCAAACTTTGATGCAATTTTGTCATTGTCTAGTTGCCGCATTTAAAATCCATTCTCTCACAACCATTAGGGTATTTAGAGTGACAAAAGCTTCTCCTGTGCCAGTGGGACCCTAGGCCTAATAATAACTAGTATATGACTGAAGTATACCTTGAAATAAATCACCTTCCTCAAGACAAGCACCCAGTTCAGTTTGCTCGTTGTGCTCAAACAAGATGGTCTGGCCTGGTTTTCCTTCCTTTTTGTTAGGCCCCAACCCGCCCCAGGTCATCACTGAATTTATATTAAAACATTATGCACTATCACGTGATGAATTAAAGGGTATGGTTCACAAGACTTAGCATTAGACACGCTAGTATGGGATCAGGAGAGATCAAGGATATGATGGGTTTCCACTAACACAACTTGTTCACAGTGAGGGTCACCCAACTGGCTACATGATAATTCATCCTAATTAGGCTTTTAACACAGATACCTTAGTAGGTGCCTTTTCCCGTAAACACGCCATGGCTCAGTGATAGGCTTCTGCTTTGAATGCAGAAGGTGTTGCAGGTCCTGACAAGGTCCCAGGTTTAACAGCTCACATCTCTAGGGATCAGGTAGTCGGTGATGTGAAAGACCTCAGCCTGAGACCCTGGAGAGCCACGGCTAGTTAGAGGAGTCAATGCTGACCTTGACAGACCAACGGCCTGCCTAAGTATAAGGCAGCTCCCCCACCTTTAAATTAAAATCATCAGAAAACAAGTTGCTTCTTGTAAATAAGTAAGAAAATCATGTTCCCTCAGAAACGGCACATTTAGTGGAAGAATCTTCACTGAGAAACTCTTTCTAGAGAAATCCATCAGGCCTGAACTATTACAGCCTAGTTGTTAAAATCTTTATTTGTCCTATCCTTCTATGCTTTTTGATTTCTTCTGTTTCCTGCAACAGTAGCTTCTGTAGTCTTTTTGTGTGGTTTATCAATGATTTTTAATTATTCTTTTCATTACTTTGTTATAATCCTCTTGGGAGGGATTTCTGTTAGACAGAACAGCATCCTAAACATTTAAATGTAAATACGATTCCGCGAAACTATGTTCTAGGGAGAATATTCCTTTGAAACTTACCACCTCGGAATAATGCCATTTTCCAAACTTGTTGTTTGACTTCGGAGCCAGCGGCGTTGGTAGCTACTAGAAGCGGAGCTTGGAGAGGGCAGTGGAGTCATCAAGAGGCTGCTCAAGGATGCTGGCAAGAAAGTAAAAATATCACAACGTTTCCTAGGGGTGTTAGTTACTGAGTAGCTTCCTCAGGCCTCAGAAGAGTGAATCTTACCACTGTCAAAGATACCCAAAGTTTCAACTTTAATGGAGTTACTATCAAAGCACCACAACAAAAACTGATAATTACTCCTGTGTACTGAGATTATACCTGATAAGAGTTCATCCTATTCAGTTGTTTAGCAGTGAAAGAGAATGAACACCACTTTTACCACAGTAATTATGTTTCTAGCTTTCAGTCCCAAAACAACTAAGAGCTAAATAGGTTCATGTGGTACAATAGATATAACTGATAACTTTTTATATTGCCACAGGAGTGCAGCCATTGCTTCTCTTTCCCAGACTCCTTTGATCCAACCGTAATTTTTTCCCCACCTACTCTAAGTCTATGTAAAACGTTCCCTAGCTTAAGACTATTACTATTATACTTGAGACATGGGCTTTATATATTAAAAAAAATCAACTCTACAATGTCTCTCCCTACTGCTAGGGTTACCAGTGTCAAGGTGGGTTCTGGAGTTCTCCCAGAATTACAATTAATCTCCCCACTACAGAGACCAGTTTCCTAAAGGGAATGGCAGTTTCAGAGAGTAGACTCCATGGTACCACATACCCACCTAGTTCTTTCTCCTCCTTAGACTCTGTCCTTGCCAGACACTGCCCCCAAATCTCCCAGGTTCCAGGTTTATTTCTCAAATTGGAGTGAGCAATCCTACCCACTGCACCCCACTTTCGGCAGCAACAGAGAAGGGTTTACATCCAGCCTGAAGAAGGGTTTTACAGGACACAACAGTTTGCTTAGTTTTTGCTAAAGATACTGGGGTGGATCCTACTCCGATCTACCACTCCACTGAGCAAAGTTCAAAGACTTCCTCCAGCCTAAGGAACCTTCCTCCAATCTGAGTGGCTCTTCTGTTGGAGGAAGAACTTCATAATTGGGAGGCAGGATCCCTAATGATACCTTTTTTTTCTTCAAATAGACAAATGGGGCTATTTCCTTTTTTTTTTTTTGTCGCTCTTTCTAAGATGACAATAGGATGCCAGAGGATTTATAGCACAAATTGGCACAGTCCAACATACTTATTAATATTTGTCACTTTGTGCTAGGGTATCTATCACATTTTTGCACTGTCCTTCCTCTCAGAAACACCAGGAGGCATGCATGGTTTTCTCTTCCCTCCAGTATTTCCTTTATAGCCATGGTTGTTATGAGGTACGTTGGTTGGGGAGGGGGTGACTACACCTCTGACTCTCCCCAGTATGACAGAAAGGAGGAAAAGGAACAAAGGAATAGATACCTGATCGAGCAATGCCACTGTCTCTGTCTTCATTCTGACCCCTGCTAGGCATGTCAACAGGTGTACTATGTGCTGAATCAGAGAGAGAAAGAGATAATCATTAGATGTGGCACGTGTCCTCATTATCACCAGCATTCTAAATCAGAGTCATACCAGCTGTATAGATTCCGTAGTGCTATTTTATTTTATTTTTTACAGTTCTGGAGTAATGGCCCAAGTTAATTATTTTAAAAGCAAACTAAAGTAAATGTAGTGAAAAGAAAGGTACGCATATACCATTGGGTGTTACTCAGAAAAGCATCACAGAGCGTTGAATATTCCAAGCAGTTCTTAGCTAAGTTTGCAAACGGCACAGGGAGGGGAGAGAAACCCTGCTCCAGATGGTGTCCCCCCCCTTCCCTGTTCTGTTTGTACCCAGTTGGTTTCAGAGCTGCCTCTCTTCATCTTGTGGGGGATATGTATGACGTGGGGGTGGGGAAAGAAAGAGTGCGTGAGCACCCACCAAAGAATGAACAAGTGAATGAATACGGCCACCACTGTACTCTGGAGCTCTCAGACTAGTACAGGAGGCACCTGGAATGGCAACTGTCCTCCATCCCAACTGCTTTTTCCAGGCCATACAATCCGTACACATTTATATTTTCAAAATAAACAGGTCAAGGTTTTTCCTCTTCACATTCTATTTTCTACAACGTTGTTATTCCAAGAGAGGAAAGCCTGTTTTTTCCTGTACTGTTCCCCTTTCCATCAGATCAAATGACCACAGTCATTCAGTGCATTGGTTCGTGGAGCTTTTTCCATACTTAAACACAAAGCAAAATGCAAAGACCACAGGGTATAGATATGTGTGTGAGTGTGCACATGCCATGCACACTCTTTTTGGACGAGACATTATTATGTGGCAGAAGTGCAAGTCATATCACAACTGCTTTTCCACCATGCATTGGGTATTAAATACAAACTTTTCAGCACATTAATAGCATGTTAAAGAGCCTAATTCAAGGCTTTGTGTTCCAGAGAAGAGTATCTCTTTGCAGTGCGTGAGGAAGAAAATATGTCTATTCTACAAGAACACAGTAGTAGGCTCAGGGTAGGTCAAGGCTACTTGACTCTGTACTTCTGATCCTGGAAGTATCCCCTTTATCAATCCATGTCTTTCAGCTGAGGGATCCTCGTCCAACCTCAATTAAAATTTAAGAGTAATTTACGCATACATAAAAGACAAACACAACAAAAAGTTTGGGATCAGTTCGTAATGGCTAAAATCTCGGACTCTCTGATGAGAGCGAATAACAGTAATACTCCTACTTACACTAAATTTGTTAGGACTTGGGCCCCGGTGTTAGATTATATGGTACAGAATGACATACTCCCGGCCAATCAAGCTTACCATTGCTGGTTATATTTATAGGAGGTAGCAGGGAACCTGGGGGACGGTAATAGGGCTGTATGGTGCTAGGCTAGTTGTCAAACTGATAATATATTAATTGTGATATATAGAAACTTAGATCCTGTAAGTAAGTGTTGTATGGAATGTTTGTGCATTATTAAAACAATTAAACAAGGGGGGTGGGAAGACAAACACCCCCAAGTGACAGGTTTCCCTTCCTTTTCAGCTGGCTTTATTACCAGCTACACAGAGCAGCAATCATTTCACAATACGATAAAATTCAGGTTACAAGAAGCCAATACTATTAAGTAAGAAAGACCACTTGATTAAAAAACATGCAACATTTGTGACTCATGTGAGATTAACATGCGTTCTTTTGATCCAAAGATAATCACCAACTCTAAAATGGGCATATCCTATAGCATTTAAGCCACTTGAGAACTAAGGGTTACCCAGCATCAAAAAGAAAGCCCAGGACACCATTACTACATTTGAAGAAAGGAACATAAATTGTCACTGCACACCAGCAAAAAGATTCTCTCAAAACCGGAAAGGGTCATTTATTTGTGAATAAACATACAAGAAGCAGTACAGCTAACAGGCTTACATGTCTGAAACTGCTGCACAAAAAAAAGCTGTAGGTGACATGATGTAGTTAATGCAGCCTTTTTAAAAAGGTCTCATATGTTGCAAAAAAAAATCAACAACACAAAAACCACCATCATCGTAGCCCCTTTCATTTGTAGAGCAATTACTGCTCACATGCCAAAAGATTTCATAGAAAGCCGAATCCCGTACATGTTGGCACAATTACACTAGGCTCAACATTCCACACAAACCTGAAAAGAAAGAAGCACTCCGGATGAGCCGGAGTGGCCCCCCTTCAGACACACCATGCAGCAGTTTGCTGCTACACAGCTGTAACACACCTATAGATACAACATGGAAAATATATAAAAACAGATTAAATGGCAGCTTAAGGAGAACAAATGCAAACTGGTCCATGGGGGGGGGGGAGGCTGTATAAACATGCATGGGTTTACCTAGATTACTTCCATTACGACAAGGGCCCAAACCATTTGGATTAGAGTTCAGCCTGGTTACGTTAGGATCTTGGCTGATATATTCAAAGCTGCCTTGCAAACTGAAAAGGGAAAATCCAGGAAAGAGT